AATAGTGGGAAACATGTTAATATTAGCAAATTCTTAGATCCATCAGAGAATTGAGGTCACAGAGTGAACTACAGAGACAATAGTCCTATAACTGCAGAGATAGTAAAATACACAGAATGAGAACAAAGGAAGGGCAGATGCCACTGGAGCCAGTAAATGGTAGAAACAATTAAATAGTAATTGATGAAATAAATACTATAGGTTAAGTGGAAATTGAGAGTTAAAAACTCTTGGGAGTCCAGTCTTAGAGATGCCTCACTTTTTTTGTGAGTTTTACTTTCAGGTGCCTCATCAGGTAATTGCAGTGAAGAACAGAAAAAAATCCTCTGTGCTTCAGGGACAAGGAGAGGCAAAATAACCCTCTTGAAATAAACCTAGAGTATTCTTCACAGCAAAAAACTGGGCATGCGCATACACACACACACACACACACACACACACACACACACACACACGCACCATTACCAGAAATTTTCCTGACACCTGGGAGAAGGGAAGCACTCCACTAAAGACCAATCTAGACTTCTTATTTGACATAAAGGTGTGGTGGGTTGCTGAGAATCACTTGTGAGGGTCACAGTCCATGAAAGGCTGAGACTTGATAGCAGGATTTTAGAACCTCCACCCCCAGTGCCTTTCTGGTATATCAACGGGGCTTCTACATAATAATAGTAGTTTACAGCTAAAAGAATTACAAAGATTAAGAGGAATTTTTAGAAAATCAGAAGAGACAAATACAAGGAAATTAAAGAAACTGAAAACCCATGAGAGTACAGCTATAGCAAATGTTAAACACAGCCTAACAGTCAGATAATATCCAAAAATCTGACCATACCGAATGCTGTCAAGAATGTGGAGCAACAGGCACTCATGTTCATAGCTGGTGAGAATGCAAAATGGCGCAGGCATTTCAGAAGACATTTTGGCATTTGGCTTTTTGTTTTTTACATTATTTTACCATGCAATCCAGTGATCACACTCTTAGATATTTACCCAAATGAGGTAAAAACTTGTGTCCACATAAAAACCTGCACATATTTTTTAAGCCATTTTATTCCTAATTGCCCAAAATGGAAGGTAAACCAAGATACTCTCTAATAGTTGAATGGATGAACAAAATGTGGCATATCCACATAATGGGGTTTTGCTCAGCAGTTAAAAAAAAAAGAGTTATTAAGTCACCGAAAAGCCTGGAGAAATCTTGAATATATATGGTTAGGTCAAAGAAGCTAAAAGGTTGAAGATTGCATACTGTTTGACTCCAGCTGCCTAACATTGTGAAAAAGGCAAAACTATAGACAGTAAAAAGATCAGTCATTGCTAGAGTTTCAGAGTAGGGAAGGTAGGATGAATAGATTTAGAATAAGAGATTTTTTAGGGCAGTGAAACTATTCTATATGGTATTGTATTGGCAAATGTGTGACAATATGCATTTATCAACACCTATAGAATTGTATACAACAGAAAGTGAATCCTATTGTAAACTATGGACTTTAGTTAATGCTAATGTATCAATATTTGTTCTTTATTTTTATGAGACATGGTCTGTCTTGTTGCCTGGAATGGAGGACAGTAGTGCCATCTCGGCTCACTGCAACCTCTGCATCCTGGGTTCATGTGATTCTCCTGCCTCAGACTTCCAAGTAGCTGGGATTACAGGTTAATTGAGAGAAATTTACCACAATAATGCAAGGTGTTAATAACATGGGAAATTACTGGAGAGAAGAGATACACAACAATTTTCCATATGCCCTTTCTTTTTTTTGGGGGGTGGGTAAACCTAAAACTGTTTTAAACTTGAAGTTTAACATTATTTTTAAAAGCCTCAGGTAAAAATGCAACTTATTTTCATATTATTAATATTAAAATCTTGCTATTTATAAAACAGACTCTATAAGACCCTTAATCTTGATCCAAAGAAAGTGTGTGATACAGAAGAAAAAGAAAAAGTCCAATAGTCACAAATAAGGAACAGTCATTGTTTTGGGAACTCTTTGTGACACAGAAATGCCAGCTCTACATTTGTTTTCTGTGTTTCAGAGTACAACAGCAGTATGTCTGTCTGCATATCTGCCCACATTCTTTTTGTTTGACATTATATCTGTCTAAATTCTGAGGGCCAAGATAAACATAAAAAAAATGGTGCTTATCTGAGATCTATTTTTTTTTTTTAACATTGACTCAAATATTTTGTAACTCAGTCTGTACCCATTATTCATGAAGAAGAATGAGGTTTCAGGGCCATCTTGCCTATTATTTTTTTTTTATCAGTAAGTAAATTCTTAACATTAGAAAGATTTTCTAAGAAGAAATGTGTATTGAACTTCTGTGGTTGCCAGAATTACATGAGTCAGGAGCATTTGTGACATCTCTGCAACCAATTGCGTACAAGTGAAAAACAGATGTCTTGAGGTTAAATCTGTTTATATTAAATCTGTTTATATTAAATTACCTTGTGCTCATTTTCTGATTAGAATAAATAATGTTCTTGCTAATCAATAAAGGAGACTTCATAGATTCTTGTCATTAAAAAAATTAAGGTAAAGCCATGTCACAAGGTTAAAAATTCTATTGTGTGTTAAATTTGTGTATGTGTATATGTGTATATATATATATATATATATATATATATATATATACATGCAAACACACACACTTAATTTATGTGTTAAATTTGTGTGTGTGTGTGTGTGTGGGTGTGTGTGTATATATATATATGTATATAAACTTAATTTTATGGGTATATTGTAGGTGTATGAATGATTGAATTTGTGCATTTAATGATTGTTTTCAATACACATTTTATTTAAGTCAAATAATACGACTAACTGCATAAAATCAAGTAAAATCAAAATCTAAATTTGCAAACCTGGTTACTGTTTTTCTACCTTGATTTTCTATTATGAAAAGCCCATTTTTCAGAAACCACCTAGCACTTTTTATTTTGCATAAGGCTAGATATTGTTCTCTGTAAAAACAGTGATCCCCTTAACTTCTTGTATTTCTTGAATAAATCAGCCACTTTTATTCAGTAAACAAATATTCAGTGCTTAGCCTACTATATGCCAGAAAAAATGCTAATTACAGAGTAAAATCTTTTTTTCAAGCTACTTATTATCTAAAAAGTACTCTGGACAACTAATCATTGATTACAACACAGTAGAATAAATGCTAGTTAGGAGAAACTGCCAAGTTTAAAAGTCACTTAGGGAAGCATAGAATCTTGTAAAAGTCAGACGATCTCTCAAAGGAAGTGTAATCTAACTGTAATTAAGAGAGAAATAAGAAGTAACAGGGTTGGAGGTATCGATGGGGTGGAACAAAGGAGAATTTTCTTAGTGAAGACAGAGTAATTGCAGAAAAATGAAAAGAAGAAAGGTAATGTACTTCTGGATTCCACACACTCCTGGCCATTTATTTTTCTAATCTCTTGTCTAAATTCCAAGTGTTGGTAGTTACCATTACCTGAAAATCTCATGATATGCCATTTTATGATTGGGAACAGAGAGAAGTCAGGTTTCTGAAATAATAACCGAAAGGTGAGTGATGTTTACATTCTTTCTTTAGCTGTCATCTGCTTTTTAAAATTTTCATGTCTGCTTAAGAGCTAAAGGCAAAGATTTTAAATATGTGATTTCCAATTGACATGTTAGAACACAACCCAAGTACTACAATAGCTCCTTTGGTAGGTCTTTTTTTTTTTTCCCAGTATAATATTTTTTTATTGCATTTTAGGTTTTGGGGTACATGTAAAGAACATGCAAGATTGTTGCATAGGTACACACATGGCCGTGTGATTTGCCGCCTTCCTCCCCCTCACCTGTATCTGACGTTTCTCCCCAGTTCTTAGTAAACAGAACAAGGTCTGATTGAAGGTGCTCGCTGTTCTGTTTCTTTCCTGTCATTGACTTCTTTCTCCTCACTCCAGTAAGTTTATTCTTTTGAAAGTTAGCCGTAGTCATGTCATCATTTATCAGTGACTGAATAAGGGATTCTCCCTTCCCAATCTCTTTTGTGTGTAGCTCCAGGCCTTTTCTTTCTCATCTTTTCCTTAACTTTTCTTTCTCCTTCTTCCCAAACCCCTGACGGCAAACCTAGGAATTTGAATATGAGGCAAAAAAATACATGTAGGAATTTGAATGTCAGCCAAATAGTTAAAAAAATAACAGCAGAATATTTCTACATCCCTATGAACAAACATGATTCTGTGTGGTTACTGCAGCTGCAGGTGTGCATTAATATCTACATTAATTATTGCGTCATGGACTTCACAAAGCCAAACCCCTCAAGTTAATCTCCGCCTCCTTTTCTGGCATTCAGAATATAAACTCACCAGAAACATTCCAAATGCAGAAGTGGTTCTCATCTTTTTTTTTTTTTTTTTTTTTTTTTTTTTTTTTTTTTTTGCAGCTTAAGATCTCCCTTGGTATTTGAAGAGATCTCAACTGGATAAATTTCTTTCACAGGATCATCTAAACAGGTTGTACTTTTTGTTATTAATATGAATACTTAGATTTTAGTTATGGAAAATATGGAATGCAAATTATGTATCACAAAGCTGTTAAAAATAAAATATAGAGAGATCAAAGTCTTTGTTGATACTTTAGTTTTTTAATAATATAAACATTGAAAACCTTTTGAAATAACTTATTGTTAAAAATAGTATATTTATGTAGTACTCTGTTGCTTATTGCTTTAATGTAAAACTACAGTAGTATTGCTACCTTAAAAGTGCTGAATGCTGGACATGCTTTCCATTTTACTGATGAGAAAATAAAGTAAGCAGGGTAGAAGCAGGTAGAATAGAGATTGAGGGTGAAGACTATGAGAACCTTATGTATTTATATCCACTGTATTGCAGCACTGATCACAGGGCCTAGGAGCAGGTAGACATTCACACAGGGAGTATTTGCTAGATAAAAGGCAGGTTGGAAGATGCAGGAGGGGAGGAAGAAAAAGAAGGAGAGAGGAAAGATAAAACTCTGAGTTTAATTTTTTAAATGTATGTAAAGAGTTAGGAGTTTAATTTTTAACCATTTTTTATTGATGTTTCTTTCTGAACAACTGACCTATGTACTTATGATATGAAACTGACAATTTCTAACTGAAATACATGTTTTGAGAAAAAGGGGAACACATGGAAAGTAAATCCATACATTGCAATATGAGACAATTTAGCAAAAGGAACAAAGTGAGAAAAGATATTTTATTACATGCCACCTACTTTGTCTCTCAGACCAAAATTGACTATGAAGGGGTAGCTGGGAGTCAGCCAACTGCTTAATGATGCATCTACCACTCCCAGATGACTATAAGCCAATTCTCACAAACTTGGCTGAAAACCAAGAAAGTAATTCACATGAATAAACAAATCAACAGGCAGGACAAGTGGTGGTGCCCTGTATACACATTTCCTACAGTGAAAGATCTATTTTCTGAAACTAAAGAGAAAGCTTGGAGAACAAGAAATTTATTGGTAAGACTAATTTATATTTTGGAAATAGAAATCATATAATTTTGATGACATTATATTTGATATGACCTAGAGGAAGCTTTTAAAAAGATTGAGATTACCCTAAGGGCTAGGGTAATTATGCGTGTTGAAGAATTTATCAGGCAGCTCTTTGGGCAAATGTGAACAGGAGGAAAACCTAGAAAGGATAGTGTCAGGAAGGACAAAATATGTTGAGAAGCTATGTCATAAATTCAAAATAAGTTAAGTCTGGTGGTGGAAAAACAGTACTAAAGGAATTTGAAAGCTAATGAAAGAAAGTTTGCTTAATTAAAAATTCTGTTACTAACCCTGAACATGGAATAGATCGTCATGGGATCAGGAGATGAATTAGGAAATGATAACCATCTTGCTTAAACTTATAATGGGAGTATCCAATACCTTATTGATCAAATGGGAAAAAAAGCAATTTTAAAGGTGACAAAGGAATTCTTTATACTCTCAAGATTCCATCACAATGTCATTAATTTCATCTTCTTTTCTTTTAAATATATTCACCAAGCATTTGGATTATTTTCGTAAAATGATACATATTCCAAGAACTTAAAAATCTCTGACTCAGATATCTGGCAATAATAATCAAAATAATAATAATAATAATAAAATCAAATATTTATTGTTATTTAATGTATACATAATTGGATAATTTACTAAAATACTGTAATTCTGGAATCCTTTGTCTTTTTATATGCCCCAGCAATTTTTAAAGTAATTGGAGGCTCTGCGGTTTTCATTTATCATAGAAATATCAAGTATATCCACATTTTTATTTAGTTTTAAGCATTTTGCTTCATAATCACTTGAGCTTTCCTATTCTTTTATGTGTCAGACATCTTTCTAATACAATTTTAAAAAACAGATCTAAAAACCATCATTCTCAGCAAACTGACACAAGAACAGAAAACCAAACACCACATTTTGCACTCAAAGGCGCGTGATGAACAATGAGAACACTTGGGCACATGGAAGAGAACAACACTCACTGGGCTAGGTGGTGGGGTGGAGGGCAGGGAGGATGGGGAGGGATAACACCTAGAGAAATGCCTGATGTAGGTGAAGGGGGGTAGAGGGATGGAGACAGCAAACTACCATGGCAGGTATCTACCTATGCAGCAATCCTGCAGGATGCTGGATGTGCACATGTACATCAGAGCCCAAACTACCATTTAAAAAATTATTTAAGCACCAAAACTATTTCATGTGTAATTTTATTGTTTTTGCCCTATATGTGCAACAACTAAGAAGTGCTAGCTATGTAGAAGGGTCTCATTATATATATATAGTTGTTCATGGTGAAATAGTGTTAAATACATACAAAACATAAAGCACTTTTTTTTTCAGTGTACGACAATGAATTCTGAATTTGACTATTATGAAAAGTTTGAAGAAGTCCATGGGATTCTAATGTATAAAGAATTTGCCAAATATTGGGATAATGTAGAAACATTCCAGGCAAGACCAGATGATGTTGTCATTGCCACCTATCCTAAATCTGGTAAATCTATTTGTTATTCTTTTTCACCTAAAAATAATAAACTTACCCTAAATGTTACGGTGTTCATGTCGTACACACTCATTCTCTATATGCAGTAGTTTTGACATAGACATAGAAAATGTTGCTCTATTCTCTGACCACAATTTTTACCTATAACTTGAATAGCACATTGACAAATGGATGTTGTTGAGCACAGTTAGAAACCAAAACCAACGTAATGTATAGTAATGAACCTGTATTCATCCAGTAATGAAAATCTAAAACTACCAACTGTTTACCTTATGCCATTAATGTTGTTTTATACACAGAGTATGACCACCAATTTTTACAGATATTTTAAAACTCTCTTTCAGCTCACCAGCTCTTTATCCATAAGCATAGTTTTGTAGTTTTACACCTATAGACTTTTAGAAATTAGACTAGTCCAAATTCATATTTCTCTATCTGGTTGTTCCACTTACTACTTAGAAATAAAGCAAAATACTAAATATGCCCTTCTTTACCTTAACTCTAAATCTGCTTCTTTTTTTCTTCCCTACTGGAATCAATGGCAGCACAATGCCAATCGTCTGAAGAGGAAACCTGTGAGCTATTCTAAGTTCAATCCTTCTTGCTTCTTCATCTGCCATTTATAATCAATCAAAATGTTTTGGCCATTTAGTCTGATAGATATGTCTCACAGATAGCCTCTTAACAGGCCTCTTGTCTCCTTTCCTATGGATCCCTTACTCCACTGTGTTTATTCTAGCCCTAGAGAAAATATTCTAAAACAGAATCCTGATAATCTTGCTCTTCTGCTTAACATATGTCAATATTTTTCAATGACTTTTTTTAAAAAACAACTTAGACTCTTTAGTATGAACTATAAGCCTTGCTATATCTGCTTGCCTGAGCCCCAACTCCTCTCTTCAGATAGACTCTTTGATTTAGGTCTTATAGTCTATTTCCAATTATTTTCCTAACCACTATGCCATTCTCAAGTGCCAACTTTAGATTAAAAAGAGAGACTGGGCTTCTGCCTGGTAGAACTCTCTCTTACCTCCCACAACTGGTGATTTCATTCCAGTAATTATTAAGGCTAAGCTCAATGATTACATCCTTTCAAAGGCATTTCTTTTCAAAATATGATGGTAGCAGCAGCAACAGTGGCAGCAGCAATAACAGTAGCAGCAGCACACTGAGTTATATATTCCTCCTTAGAAGTTATTTAAATCCCTGTACCCATCTTATACAACAGCATCTTAATAAAAACAGAAAGTATTGTCACTACTGAACAATGTCACTGACTTTTCAAAGTGCTTTTAGCTCCCATAGGACAGGAGCCAGATTTATCCTTTGTTATGCCATCAGTAAAATTTTTGATTGAAGGCATGTTTGTATGCATCACCTATTATTGAAGCCTTCTCAATTTTTAGATGTAAAAATTAAAGTCCAAAACTGTTATCAGCTTATACAATGTCACAATTCATCATGAACAAATTTGGACACAGGTCTCAGATGTGCCTTACTATAATTTTCATCTTTATCTCTTAAAGTCATTTTTGTGTCCTAAACATAAAATATTATAGAAACTATTTCTTGAGTCTGACTATTCAGACACCCTTTAAATAGTATTGCACTGGTACCTTTCTACTTTATCCATCCCTAAATTCAGCACTCCTGTCATTAACTCTACATGGTCAGCAGGAGACTCAGGTTTATTTAATTTTTACAGGCACAACCTGGGTTTGTGAAATTGTGTATATGATCTATAAAGAAGGTGATGTGGAAAAGTGCAAAGAAGATGCAATTTTTAATCGAATACCTTTCCTGGAATGCAGAAATGAAAGCATGATGAATGGTAATATTCAGGTTTATTTTAGAAACTATTTGCATATATTCTAAGGTGTGTATGTAGATGGTACAAGCAATGAGATTATAAGCAATAATGGTAATTAGTATAAGGTCTTCTACATAAGAGAGCATATAAATTTAAACTTAAATTTTGACAGGCTTTGTAGTACAGCATATGGATAGCATGTGTCTGGAATAGAGTGAATAAAGACAATTCTTGTACGCTTTCAGCAGTGTTTAACAATATGTAAACATTTATGTCTCTGTGGGCTGAATGTGATCTTTTAAATATTGAGAAAATACTAATAAATTTTTCAATGATATGTGCAAAAATATATTTACCTCAGATTCTTTTAATATTGTGGAAAATTAGAAACAACCTAAATGCAAATCAACAAAAGAATGGTTAAATATTGTATAATAACAGCATAAAATTGTTAAAAATTTTTGGATGTTTCTTGATATTGCAGTGTAAGCATAATATACTGAGAGAAAAAGACAATTAGAAGCTATCAAAATGTTTATGTGTGTGCATGGCATTGTGATGGCTGTAAATTTGAGGATATAAGTAGATTTGCACAGAAGGTTGATTGGCAAAATATTAATGATTGCTCCCAGGTGATGAAATTTTATTTTATTTTATATTTTTCTCTGTAGTTTTCTCTATCTGTATTTCTTTCTTTCATAGTGTTATTATGAACACAATATAGATTTTTTAATTTTTAATTTTTGTAAATATATATTAGATGTAAATATGGGCTTGGGGTACATGAGATGTTTTGTTATAAGCCTGCAATGCATAATAATTACACCATGGAAAATGGGGTATCCATTTCCTCAATAGTTTATCCTTCATGTTACAAACAATCTAATTACAATATAAATATCTATATAAATCGGCATAAATAGTTAAAATTTTTGATGTTGCCTAACCTTTACTTTTTAAAAAATCAGGAGTAAAACAATTAGAAGAGATGAATTCTCCTAGAATTGTGAAGACTCATTTGCCACCTGAACTTCTTCCAGCTTCATTTTGGGAAAAGAATTGTAAGGTAACTGGAGTCAAGTGTTCTCAAAACTCCATCCAACTCCAAGAAACGATAAAATGATCTCATCAGTTATGCACACTTGTTTATTTGTTTTTCCATTGATACTATAGATGTTTAACAAGTGTGGAATACAACAAATGTAGACTACAACTCTGTCTTTTGCCAAATGCAGTTCTAAAAAGTCTTGTTAAACTCCGAAGCTAAGACTAAGTTTTTACATCTGTAGAAGAAAGATAATAATAATATCTTTTTCATAGAGTTGTTATAGGATTAAATGATAATGCTTGTAAAGTGCTTCACACAATTCCTAGAATGTTGTAAACAATATGGTAGCTACTTTTGTATTTGTTGTTTTTACCAATTGTAACTGAATTTTCCTCCTTCGAATAATACTGTGCTTCGTGTTGTTAGGCATGCAAATGAACCAGAAAAGGATAGATCAGATAAGCGTTGTGTAATAACTATGTATTGAGGACCTGTTATGTGCTAGGGACATAACAGTAAGACACATGCAATCCTTGTCTTCATGGACACAGTCCACTGGAGTAAAAGGACAAGCGAACTGTGAAAGAAGTATCATAGGTCTAGTAAGAGAGAGAAATTTAACTCAGACTGTGGGGGTAGTGAAGGCATCCAGGAGAAACATTTCAGCTGATATTTGAATGATGTGTAGGAGTGATGCAAATTCAGAGATAATCTGAGGGAGCATCTGAAATCTGTTCAGTTTGGCTGGAAGATTAAGTATATATATTGGATAAAAGGTAAAAGGAGATTAGCTAGAAATTGATTATAAGATATATTGAAAGTCAAGTTAAGATGTTTGGACTATTTCATTTTAATGGTAATGAGGAGTTATAGACATACTAAGCTTATAATTTATACTATTAGTTTTGCTCTTTAAAAATAGTGCTATACATAACCTCAAAATACAGGGGATACACGAAGTCTGAGACAACCAATTCTTTTCTTCAAGACCTTTCTACCACCAGGGCTGTTCTTCAAGATCTTATAGTACTATTTGTAATTATCACTAAGAAAAAAGGGGATATATCCCAGTCATAAAATATGGTCATTTTGTAATCTGATACATGGCATATTTGACATTTCCTAGAGATCTACAGACAAAAATTTCAAAGATTTCCATGTTAGTTTGTTTTTATCATTAGCAATCCTAGATAGACCATATACATCCTGCTGAAGTTATTCTGTATGTAGGGGCTGTCTCATTAGTAAACACCAGTAATATACTTTCCAGAAGATGTGGCATTATTATTTATTAAGAGATTGACCAAGACACTTTTTTCCTCTGGAGGATGGGTGGTGGACTTGCTGTTAACTCCTTACGTCTCAAATAGAAACAGGTACCATACATTTATAATAGTCCAAGTCTTCACAGAGCTGCCTGTTTTTCAGAGGTTATCAAAGAGTAGGAGATAGAGGGATTCATGTTTGGAGTATTTCCAGAGTGATTTACAGAGGAACAACAACAACAAAAAAAAACAAATATATGGAGGATATTTGTAAATATCCTTTTCCAAGTGGATAAAGGATATTTGGAGTGATGGAGCAGAGACTCTAACTGACAAAGAGAAGAAAGTGACAAAAAGTAGCAGGTTAGTGGATAATATCAGTAACTGAGGCCAGTGGATTCGAGCCCTTGGTGTGATTATAGGAGAGGTATGTGGAATAACTGATGGGGAAGAAGGAAGAAGCAGAATTTCTTGAAAGAAAAGATTATGGCTCAGGATAATGCTTCAAAAGTGAAACCTTTATGGTGAAGACATGATCCGGTATTTGGTTACAAAAGTGGTTGTCTGAAGTAACATAGAAGTAATGATCAATGACTACATGAACATCAAGTAGATCACACTTACAGACACTAAAATTACACAAATGAGAAAAGAATTTGGATGGAGAGTGAAACCATGAGGCAGGTGTTCAAATTTTCAGTTAAAGCAAGGGAATGTCTGAAAACTTAGAAATGGCATCAGATTGAAGAGGTATAGAAAGTATCATAGGAATAGGGGTCTTTAAAGTGCAGAATTTTAAAGATAGATTATAATCACAAGTGAATCACTGGCAAACTAGTAACTTTGACTCAAGAGAGATGTAGCACAAGTCTCATCTTCAGGAAAGAACTAGATTTCCCTTGAGGACAGAAAAATGAGTATGTGCCGTAAAAAGTTTGGAGTATTGAATAAGAGCTGCCAAAAGAAATGCTATAAACTAACAGGAGGTTAGGGAAAGAGAGATCACTTTTTTCTATCTGGGAAAATAAAAAGCCTGATGGAGGATGTGGAAGCAAGCTATAAAATATAAATCACATTTTGAGAAACAGAAAACATTCAAGAATCGGCGAATAGAACAAAGAAGACAAGGGACGAAAATTCTGAAGTAAATTAATGCATATATTGGCAAAGGGTTCCATTCAGCCAATAAATGAAAAGAACTAGGAAGAGTTATAATTAAGATTGGAAAAGTTCAAATTCACTAATGATGAATTTTATATGAAAAAATGTTCACTTTTATTCTCTAGTATTTAGAGGCTTTTACAAGAGGGCCATAAAAATGAGAGCCAAACATTTGAGAATAAGCTAGATTTCTATAAAACTGTTAGAAAATATCTTCAGTAAGACAATTTAGTAGGTTTAATCATATTCCATAAACAGTGGAGACTCAACAGTACTCTTTCATGATAGTATTTAGGTGCCCGAGCGCCTAAGTAGGAGACCATATGGTTACTGGATTTGACTTTTGCAGATCTTTTCATGCAGCATTCAGTATCAGACCTAGAGTAGACCACAGATAATGTAACCCAAATCATTTGTTTAGTAAAGAAAATATTTAGGTCCAAAATTGCCGGCACTTTGTATTCTTAGTGCCAAAACTAGAAACTAAAGCCATTGCTTTCTGACAACTAATTTGTTGGTATTTATTCTGCATGTAAAATGGAAACTAACAAGGTGTTGGCAGAGATTATATTTTCACTGAATTCAATGTGCATGTAAATAAAACCTCATAAACATTTTTTTTCCTGCAATATTGAAAGTGAAGAGACCTCAGAACTATTTTTTTTTAATTACGCAGAGTGGTGGTAGTATAAAGACCAGAGCACTGTATAGCTGATTGACTGATAGACCAAATGCTTTATTCTCATTGATTTAGTCTCAATGCTATATTGTTATTAAACTTCAGCTTAGTCTCTTCACTTATAAATTGGGAATAACAAATAATCTAACTGGCTTAATTAATACCGATGAATTTTACAACACTCAAATGAGGTATTATTTGTGAAAATGGCAAAGCCAAAACTTGAGAACAAACAGAACACAACACTACAAAAACCACTGTCAGCTCAGGTTACTGAAGATGTCTTTATAAATTATTTTACATGCTTTATGTATTTTGTAAAGTGAATGTGTACTATGCTGATAGTTGAAAATATAAATCTTTTTGTTAAAGATCTTGATGAGTGTGTTTGAAAAAATATTAAGTGATTTAATATACAATTTCATCCTCTCAGATGATCTATCTTTGCCGGAATGCAAAGGATGTGGCTGTTTCCTTTTATTATTTTTTTCTAATGGTGGCCGGTCATCCAAATCCTGGATCCTTTCCAGAGTTTGTGGAGAAATTCATGCAAGGACAGGGTATGAACAGATTCTTTACTCTGAATTTTTTTTCAAGATGCTACAAGACAAATGCCATCTCTGAGTAAAAGTTTTTATTTGTTCTGCTATGTTTTCTTCCATGATTCATACTTAAAACACAGAAATTCTGAAGGTGCCTTGAGATTTACAGCAAGCATAAGGTGTCCAGATGTAGATGGCAAATAGCAGAATCTGAGCACTCTGGTCCAACATATAAAAATAAATATGTGGAAGTATGTTTTGGGGCAGGGAGTAGCAATTTTACTCTTCATGATTGAGACTCACTGTCTGATTTTCTGCCGTGTCTATTTTTAGTAGAAAAAAAGTGTTTTATGTCAAGTTATTACAGCTCTATTGAACAAGGGGTCAGGGAAAGATTAGAGAAGAGAGAATGTCCATTTGTTTCCAATAAAATTGTCAGGTTCTATATGAATCTGGAATTCACAAAGAAGTTTGACTATTTACAAAACTCTTCCTCATTCTACCCAGTGTGCAATCTGAATATTTTAGCCAGGTTTCTCAAATTTGTCAAGAACTACTTGAGCAGATATTCTGGGAAATTTTTCTTTTTTATTAAACACTGTGACTAAAGTGTTTAAGTTTGAGGGACAAAGGGTGCAGGATAGTCTAGTATTCACTGAAGAAGGCCATTCTAATCATGTAGTAATCATTATAAAGAAAAATAATAATGTGTTTTTATATTCACAGATAATAATATTGGCTCGATAAAGTAAGGTATATGTGTGCTTGTCTAGTATTCACTAAAGAAGGCCATTCTTTCACGTTGATGATAGTTTTCTGGGGAGCAAAGAAAAAAGAAAAAGCCATTCTGATCATGTAGTAACCATTATAAAGAATAATAATAATGTGCTTTTGTATCCACAGATGATAATATTGACTCAATAAAGTAGGGTATATGTGTGCTTTGTATTTGCTGCTACATTTTGGGAAAATTTTTGCTAAAGCATAATGAATAAAATATATTCCTTAAGATTGTCAAGACCTGCACTGTATGGCAGAGAAACATAATTTTGCATCACTACAAAGAGATAAATGAGATCACTACAAATTTCATTGCAGAACTTTTTCTGTAAACAAAAAATTCCCTAATGGAGTCAGAGAACAGAGGAGGTACAAAATGACTTAAGGCAAAGTAGAATGTTTTGACTCACACAATATTTTATTATTTTGTCAGCTTTGTATTTTATGAAACATTTTTAGTATGAGTGAGAGAAGAGAAAAAATAAGAGATAGCATTTGGTTACATCACATCATTTCTAAAATCTAATTTCCTGGGGTGAGAATGATATAAGAGTACCTAGGAGAACACGCCTTAACATGTAAACAAATAGTGTAATAAATACATGGTTACTATTTTCAGTTGCCAATCTAGTTTGTAAATGATAAATTGGAGATCAGAAATATACTCTTCTATCAGACCACTGATCATTTCATTGAGTTAATTCCCTTCACTAACAACTTGATTTGACACATACACACACATACCCACACATCAGTTTCAACAATTTTCTCATAAGTTTTAAATCAAATTGTTGACAGACTTTCACTACTCTGTTCTGTCATAAACTATGTTACATGATAAAATTCACATTATTTTTACATACATAGATTATTTAACATACTTGGCCTCTCTTGCGGCAGAGAACTTTGCTTAAGATATACAGCTTATCTATTTTTTATTTCATGATCATCTATTTATATTTATTTGTTGCTATTGTTTCTTGGACACTAGTTTTCAAGGAGTTATAGAGATGATATCATTTTTACATTGTTTTTCTCTTTAATTTTAGTTCCTTATGGTTCCTGGTATAAACATGTAAAATCTTGGTGGGAAAAGGGAAAGAGTCCACGTGTACTATTTCTTTTTTATGAAGACCTGAAAGAGGTGAGGAACTGGAAATGTATAAGCAACTTGACAATTTCTAAGATGTTAGCATTTGAAAATATTCGGGGTACAAAAATCTTTCTTTAAATAAATGTTGATAATCATATAAATTTTTAAAAGAAAAGGACCAAAATAATCCAGATACTTTGACATAGATTTGAAGCTAGCAAATAAAAATATTCCAAAAGTGAATACATTTTAAACCACAAGTCTCAAAAATTTCAAAGACAAAACTTGAAAGAACTTGAGTTCATTAAGCAATAACAACACACACACACACACACACACACACACACAGAGAGACACACACACATTCACACATAAGGAATCAACATGGACGAATAATTAACAGGTATTCAAATGTAGAGATGTTGCAATTGTTAGATAGTACTATAAAATAACCATGCTTAATATGTTTAAATAAATAAAGGATGAAATTTTAAAAATTACAAAGAAACAAAAGCTGTTAAAATTGACAGAGTGGATTTGAAAAAATAGTCAAATAGAATTTCTAAAAATATTTAAAAAATAAATATGGAAAATTAAAAGATGAGTTTAATAATAGATTAGACATGGCTACCTAGTGAATTATTGAAGTAAAAGATGGAGCTAAGTAAATTCCATAGAAGGTAGCACAGTGACATAAATAGACTATTTGATGACAAGTAATGGTTCTTACTAAGTATTAGCATTTAAAAATTAAGAAAGTGATTGGTTTATATGATACAGTGATAAGGTTTCACATATATCAACTTAAACTTCCAGAATAAGAATATAAAGAGAATGCTGAGATATTAATAAACACATTTTTTATGGACTTAAAATTTTCTCATAATAGAATTTTTCTTTGTTAGTGTAATTCAAAATAAAAATCACTATGAGACACCCATTTTACACCCACTACACTGGTAACAATTTAAAAATCTGACAGTAAGAAATATTAGGATGTGAATCAGTGAAAAGTAACCCACTGTTGATAGTATCATAAACAGAAACACTGTGGAAACAACTTGCCATTGACTAGCAAAGACAAAACATACCTGAAGTTTAAGGCCCTGAAATTTTACTCTTAGATATCTACTCTAGAAAAACTCTGGCTTATGTACATTAGGTTATATATACAACAATTTTCATAGTAGCACTCTTCATAACCACAAAAATGGAAAACAACCCAGATATATATATACCGAAGAATCAATATATAATCTATTTTATTGTATTGCAATTATATATCATATTGTAATGAAAGGGAATACACTTCAAAAACACACATCAGTTAGGTAAAACCAAACTATATGTTGTCTAGGGATACATACCTAACTTTGAAAACTATAAAGTAGAGCAGATAATTTGAAATTAGCAGAGTTTTTTTCTATTTTTTTCAATTGTTTTGCTTTTGTGGATAGGAATAGATGGTGAAAGAAATAATAATAATAATAATAAAAAAACTAAGAAAGCTGTGAATGTTCTATTCCATAAGTTGGGTATTAGGTAATAGGTGCTGTACATAGTTTTATTCTTTCAATGAGATATATACATATAACTCATAAATTTTAAAAAGATAGAAAAAATAATGAGTTTCTTTAAGAGGTGAGAAATTTTCTCTATTTTCTTAGCCTTTACTGCCACCAAAAAAGCAATTGATCTCCATGTCTTATTCATATATTTGAATACTCTTTAAAATCCTTCATAGTATTTCAGTAATTTTAGAGTTGTTTTGGTGAGCATTTATTTAAAATAAAATCATAAACAATATTTCATAAATTAAATTATTTCTTTATAGAACTTAACACTATATCAAATTTGAAAAAGAAAAGCAGCCATGATCTACAGTTTATTATATTATTATTATATTATCTAATTTTCTCTTCCATAACTAGACTATTAATGATAGAGAACATGAAGTGCACACAAGCAAAGTTCAATAGTTACTCTAACTTTCCTCCTTCATTCCAAATTGTCCATGCCTACTTGCTCCCTATTTTGGCCAGTAATGACCGTGTTTAGGTCCTCTATATTTGAATCAATGAGAAGGCTAAGAGTACACAAATTAATTTTAATTATTTCTACAATGTATACAGTAGAAAGAAAACAAAGTATTAACACTATATATACACAGATATCTCTATATACAAGATTATGTGTATGTATTATGTACATACACATACATATAAGATATCCATTTTACACCCATATATACACAGAATATAATTTTATTATGCCTTGAAGCATCTTCTTTTTAATTTTAAATTTTAATTTCTATGGGTACATAGTAGGTATATATGTTTTTGGGATACATGACATTTTTATATAGGCATACAAGGTGTAATAATCACATCAAGTTAATGAGGTATTCATCACCTCAAGCATTTATCATTTCTTTGTGTTACAAACATCTCAGTTATATTATTTTAATTATTTTAAAATGTACAATGAATTAATGTCAACTGTAGTCACCAAGATGTGCTTTCCAATACTAGATCATTCTATCTAGCTCTATATAGTACATATTAAGTATTCCCAGTTCCCTTTTGAGTAAGATAGACAAGTAAATAAAACATTACAAAAAGGCACATGGCAAATTAGATTTATTTAAACATTTATGGGAGCAAAACAGGATCATCTACATAAAATTAGAATAGCCAAGAATATTATCCCAAAGAAACTGATAGATAAGCTGAAGTGTAAAAGGCAAGCTATAATTTATTAAGCAGAGAATTTAGGAAAAGCATTTGGCATAGAAAGAAATGTGAACTTGAATACATGTTGCGGTTGGTCTTGCAAATGGTTGCACTGAGTGATATAGCGGAATAATGGGGTATATTACAGGAGTGGCATAGAGATTGGAATGTTTGTAGCTCTGGTGTACAGACAGTTGATGTTGCATTGTATTTAATTTTTTACACCTTTTCTTAATCTTTCTGGTTTGCTTCTCATTAATTACATCAATAAATTAGGAGAAAAATGAAAGTTAACTGCATATTCTTATCCCCCAAACTGATTTTTCACAGGAAGTTTTAGATTTTGAGTGTGTATATTTGCATTCATGGATAATATATATTAATTGCAATTATGCATCAAGGACTATAATTAGCATTTACAGACATATCTCATTTAGTGTTTTGAAGAATCTTTAAAGTATCCTTTATAAACATTTTATGGATGAGGAAAATTATGCTTTTTTTTTACTGTACTTTAGGTTCTGGGGTACACGTGTAGATTATGCAAGATTGTTACATAGTTACATACATAGCAAGGTGGTTTGCTCCCTTAATCCTTAAAATAACTTTTATAAAATTCCCTAAAGGCTTTTTTTTTCTCATTATAAATCTAATTCTAATATCAGTAGGAGAAAAGAGAAAGGGATATTTTCTCTCTTTCATTTCAATATCTATTTATTCTGCTTTAGCAATTTACTTTTCAGAACATTTTCTCTCCCTAGGATATCAGAAAAGAGGTGATAAAATTGATACATTTCCTAGAGAGGAAGCCATCAGAGGAACTGGTGGACAAGATTATACGTCATACTTCATTCCAGGAGATGAAGAACAATCCATCCACAAATTACACAACTCTTCCAGACGAAATAATGAACCAGAAAGTGTCGCCCTTCATGAGAAAGGGTGAGAAAGTCATGCAGTTTGCCTGGATGCTAGAGGAGGGCACAGGGTGATATGGTTATAGGCAAAAATTTAGTGCGGCATTTTAATGCCTATGGACCCAGCTTAAATTTCCTTCAGCAGTCTCTCACATTTGAACACCCTCTTTAAGTTACACTTCTACTATACTGTAATTACCTATTGATTATTTAGCATGTGCATCGTATTATATTAAAAATAACCAGCAGACACCTCAATCTCAGTGCTGGAAATAATACCATACCCTATTAGCTGTCATTTACCAAGGCTGTGTGCCTCAGTGCTACAACATATATCATATAGTTCCTTTAAGTTCTAACCAGAAATTCCACAGAAAGATTTTATTTCTTTATCTTTTCAATTTGAAGAAATAAAGTTAGAATAGTTTGTCAACACTTTTTTTTTTAACAAGTGGCAAACACCTTTCAAGGGTAAGTGGCAAAAAATAGAAATTTAAATACAGCTCTGATTAGCAAAAATATCAACATATAAAGAAAAGAAAAATCTGTTTGGAAGGAGGCACAGCCTGATGAGACACAGCCAGTTAACAAATTTAAAGGCATGTAAGACACTTAGATGTTTACTGTGAGGAAGCAAAAACAAACAGAATAGAAACAAATCTTACTCTTTGAACCATATTGTCAGTGAGAGAGTCAGGAAAATTTTAAAATAACAGAAATAACAAACCTGGTACTGGAAAAAAAGCAGGGAGCCACTGAAAAGGGAATCAATTCTCAAATTATATTTTAATTATGTATTCTTTTGATTATTTCCTTTTTCAAAATTCTACATATAAATATTACAGAAGACTTAAAACAGTTGTCGTACTTACAAACAGTGCCTTGCTGCTATGCCCTCAGACCCTATCTGATGTTTTAGGATATATATTTTCTTCTGGTTTTGGGTTATTTCAATGAGAAAGTTTAGAGCTCCTTGAGCTAGAGGACAAATGAACTCTTGACTAGTCTAAAAAAGAAGGTCACTTCCTTCTGCAAGGTGAGTGTTGGAAGTGTGATGGAAAGCAAAACAGGTGAACCTTTCTGGACTACTGTAATTACCCAGATGGGAAACATTCTCAAGCTGGCAGTAGCAGAAGTGGTTAAGAGGCAGTAGATACAAAGATACCCGGAATATAAATAATAAATTAGATGATGTGGTTAAGGGAATAACATCCAAGATTATGTTTGGATATCTGTTGTTGCCACTACACAGGTTATTAAAAAGTAATTGGAGAAAACACAATATGATAAGGCATAAAATGAATTTATTTTTGAACTAATTTAATTTGAAAAACTTGAACAACTTCCAGGTGGCAAAGTCATGTAGGCAGTTGTATATAAAGCATAAGTCTGGATTTGAGTGCTATCAGCATTAAGATGATATTTAATACTTTAAGAGTGGGTAAAACATGGATCTTATCCTGGGAGCCCCAACAAGTGAGATGACACTTGAGAACGATAAAGTAAGTGGCATATGAAGAAAGAATCAGAGAATTAAATTTGCTATTTTTAAACCAATTAAGACAAATTCATCTTTGTAAGCTCAAATAAGTAAATTAATAATGGTATACATTTTATTCCTAAAATTGAGAATTACAAGTATAATATTTGATCAGGTGTTAATGAAAGTGATGAAATTAGCAAACCTAATGATTCCTTTGTGAAGACCTAATATTTATTGTACTTTCTTTTTTGTTACAGGAATTATAGGGGACTGGAAAAATCACTTTACAGTAGCCTTGAATGAAAAATTTGATAAAAATTATGAGCAGCAAATGAAGGAATCTACACTGAAATTTCGAACTGAGATCTAAGAAGGCCTTTCTTAATATATATGATTAAATATTTCATTTTATTATTCTTCACTTTTTCTTATTTTGGATTGCTATAAAATACATAATCATGGTTATGTTGACATTTTCTTCTTAAATTTTTGTTTAACAATTTTTTTTTTTTTTTTTTTTTTTTGAGACAGAGACTCATGCTGTTGCCCAGGCTAGAGTACAGTGGCACAATCATGGCTTGTTACAGCCTGGATCTCCTTGACTCAAATGATCCTCTCATCTCAGCCTCCCAAGTAGCTAGAACTACAGGCATGTATATGTATGCTTGGCTATTTTTTTAAAGTTTTTTTCTAGAGATGAGGTCTTACTATATTGTTCAGGCTGGTCTTGAATTCCTGGGCTCAAGCCTCCCAAGTAGTTGCAGCATCAGGCCCACATCACCATGCTCAACTAATTTTTATTTATTATTATTTTTTGTATAGATAGAGGCTTGTTATATTGCCCAGGCTTGTCTCAAACCCTTGAGCTCAAGTGATCCTCCCACACAAGCCGCCCAAAATGTTGGGATTACAGGGATGATCCATCATGCCTGGCCCAGGTTACATGTTTATTGAGCTGTACATATATACAAAAAATAAGAAACTTTTTTCCCCACTATCATCTCTTAAATTTTATTTCTTTTTCTTTTGCTTCCTCTTCTTTTCTACTTTTTATAAATATTATGCACAATTATAACCTATGAGAATAATGTTGTAACACAGATGATTCATCTTGTTAGAGCTGTATTAAAAATAAACAAGCATTTCAAATTATTTTTTGTGATTGATTTTTCCAGTTAGTAGGACATAAGTATTTTTTTATATATATATAATTATATATATTATATATAGTATTATATATATGTTACATAAACTTTGAAGACTAGAAGAATGAAAGAATATACAAATTGGGGGCATAACTATAACTATTATTTTCTTCCTTGTTTTCTTTTACTATTTTTTTACTTTAATTTATTTATTATACTTTAATAAACACTTTAATAAAAACTTCATAGTATGGGACTTTCCCACAGCATATAATAAATATTCAAGAGTACATGTTGATATAAATAAATGATTAGTTAAATAATTAAATGCAGTAAATAAATATCCCATACAGAAGAATTTCACCTATTTGTGTACAGTTTCCTGTGCAATTCCTCAAGTGTGAGATTTATATAGGGGCTTTCTCATAAAGGAGGAAGAGTGCTGTGTGAGGGAAAGAGTAACTTTAGAGTGGAGAAAACTGCCTCAGTCAGGTAATTCCCCTTTTGTATATAACTGATTACCTAATCATGCTGATCACCTTCTACATCCCGCTCCCTATCAGACCCCTGGTCTCACTGCCACTTTCACGTTCTCCAGGCATGCTGCTGTCTGCTAGGCTCCTGAAACTCCTTAGCCCCTTGTCATGCAACCATTTTCAAGGGAAGAAAGGGAAAAGAAAAAAAAGAATTTTCACTTATTTTTAGGTCTAATGTCTTCAGTCTTCAATAAAAAGCACAACATCACAAAAGACCTCCTCCTGCTTCCTTTGCTGGCACCTAGAGTTCAACTATTATCTTCATAAGCCAGCGATTCTGAAAAGTTCTGCTCCACTTCTCAGGAAACTTCTGAGAAATCAAAAAATATCTTCATTGGAATAGTAAGTTTTAACTCACTGGAATTCTTTCAAGATTTTGGCCCAATATTTAAAAATTTTTTTCTCAGTTCACCAAAATGAAATAAGCTTAAAGTAAGCAGAATAAAGTTAAAAATAAAAACAAATAAACTTATACAGGAAAGCAATGGGGAAAATTAATGAAAGCAAAAGTTAGTTCTCCAAAAAAGATTAATAATATTAATAAACTTCTACAAAGACTGACAAAGATGGAGAGACAAAGAACACGAATCACTAAAGTCAGCAACAAATAAGAAATAGAACCACAGATTCTACAACCGGTGAAAGGATAATAAGAAAAGTCTAAGACCAGGTGCCCACTTAACTGTGAAAAAAAAAATTCGTTGATGGCATTAAAGGAGACATGGAAAAACATCACCTAAGAGATTATTTTGAACAGTATGAAAAAATTGAAATGATTGAAATCATGACTGACAGAGGCAGTGGCAAGAAAAGGGGCTTTGCCTTTGTAACCTTTGATGACCATGACTCCCAGGATAAGATTGTCATTCAGAAATACCATACTGTGAATGACCACGACTGTGAGTTATGAAAGCCCTTTCAAAGCAAGAGATGGTGAGTGCTTCATCCAGCCAAAGAGGTCGAAGTGGTTCTGGAAACTTTGGTGGTGGTCATGGAGGTGGCTTCAGTGGAAATGACAACTTTGGTCATGGAGGAAACTTCAGTGGTGGTGGTGGCTTTGGTGGCAGCCGTGGTGGTGGTGGATATGGCAGTGGGGATGGCTGTAATGGATTTGGTAATGATAGTGGTTATGGAGGAGGTGGCCCTGATTAGCCCCTAAGGTGGTGACAGCCAATACTTTGCCAAACCACGAAACCAAGGTGGCTATGTTGTTCCAGTAGCTGCAGTAGCTATGGCAGCGGCAGATTTTAATTAGGAAACAAAGCTTAGCAGGAGAGGGGAGCCAGAGAAGTGACAGGGAAGCTACAGGTTACAACAGATTTGTGAACTCAGCCAAGCACAGTGGTGGCAGGGCCCAGCTGCTACAAAGAAGACATGATTTAGACAAATACTAATGTGTATGGGCAATAAACTCAAGGACTGCTTTTGTGACTAATTGTATAACAGGTTATTTTAGTTTCTATTCTGTGGAAAGTGTAAAGCATTCCAACAAAGTGTTGTAATATAGATTTTTTTTTTTGCACCCATGCTGTTGATTGCCAAATGTAATAGTCTGATTGTGATGTTGAATAAATGTCTTAAAAAAAAAAAAAAAAAAAACTTCATGGTAGTAGGGTTGACAATTTAGAAAGAATGGACCAATTCCTCAAAAACCATATACTATAATTCTTACAAGATGAAATAGATAATCTGAATAGTCCTATAACCATTACATTTATAATAAAATTCTCTTGGAAAAGAATTCCCAAAGCCTAGATGATTTCAGTGAATTTTATGAAACATTAAAAAAGAAAAGTCACCTAGTAATGGTAACGATACCTGTCTTAAAATATTAAAAACTGGCCAGGAGCAGTGGCTTACACCTGTAATCCCAGCACTTTGGGAAGTCTAGGTGGGAGATTCACTTAAACCCAGGAGTTTAAAACTAGCCTGAGCTACAGAGTGAGACCCCACCTCTACTACATGCATATAACTGGTTTGAGATTCTTATAATTTTTCATATAACCAATATATTTTCTATTATGTGGTTACTTTTTGTCTTTAGGTTTTGAATCATAATGCTGACAAGTGGCAACGTTTTTAAATTTTCAAGTTTATCAATCTGTACAATAATGAATTTGAAGTTGAAGTCGAAACCTCTTATTTAACAAAATATGAAGATATAGTTCTATGTTCATCCTTCCTTGCTGGGAATATTGTGGACCCCTTGGTGGTGACTGAGCAACCCCAAACTTCTGGGAGAATTGGCAAAACCCAACCTACCTGAAATAAGAAGAAATTCTTGTTGATTTTTAACCTGTGAATTCTCTTAGAATTTGCTTTCCCTGAAATGAGTTATTTGCTTTCTGATGCTTGTTACTTACTGTATAGATTATATTTGAGAAAATAAAGAATAATGTGAAAAGCTGAGCTGTAACTTGTAACTTTGGTTCTGCTGAAGCTGTAACTTGTAACTTTGACTCTGCTGAGCTGTTTTGTAAAAATAGGAACCCTGTGTAAGGAACAAACTGCTTAGCATGACTGCAAGAGTGAGATGACAGCATGCAGTAAGTTTCTCATTGCAGAGAGCCTATAAACAGACATGTAATGGAGAGGCTTATTACCTAGATTCCTTTCCCAGGAAAGGCATACTGATTATGGCCCTGGAAAGGGAATGCCACTCTTATGGAGAGCCTATAAACAGACGCATTAGGGCCATCTGTCATGAGGAAAAACCTCTGTGGTTGAGATAAGGATATAAAATCTTTCTTCTCCCACTGCTCCTCCAGGCCTGCATGGAGGCCCCCTTCTCTTGCCGCTTTGTGGTCAGGCTGGTTGTCCTGTGTCAGATCCTGTTCCCCCTGCAGCTGTGAGCCCAATGTGTTCTTGCTGATAATCTTAAGTTTATGTTTAACCTCTATTCTTGCTAAGGTGTATGATTTCTATGCTGACACACAGAAAAGTTATCTTTACATTGTTCTGCTTTTATAATACCAAGTTGTGGTTTTTGTGCGCCAGTATTTGCAAATGTATTCTTTTGTATGATCATTTCCATACTGTTGTGTAGCCTCACTCCCCCTCCCCTATTGAAAGAGTCTAATAAAAAACTGTGGTTTTCAGGGGAACTTTAGACATCCACAAAGCAGCATTATGTGGTGTCTCCCCTGGGCTCAGCTTTAAGAAAAACTGTTTCTTTGTCTTTTTTTCCTTTTTCACCAACCACTTGATCACCTTGAGAGATCTTGAATCCACATTGATATATTGGGAGCGGGTCTTTCCAATAATTCCTGAATATTCTAAATACTTTCTTTGACTCCATAAAAAGATCTTGATTAATATTTTTTTTTCTTATCATCTGCTTCAGGGAAAAAGCCAAAAATAGTAATAATAATTATTATTAATATTTTTATTGATCATTGCTTTGTGTCAGGGATTGTTCCAAATGCTTACTCATTTCATTGCCACAACTCTTCAATACAATAGAATATTAAATTATTCCCATTTTAATAATAATTACATTATGGCAAAGAAAATCTATACAATTTACATAAATTATCCAAAAATCATACGTGGAAAGTCCTTGTGAAAACCTGATCTCAGACTCATAGTAGATGCTCCATAAATGGTAATTTCTGCATCTAACCCCTACCTACTTTTATTTGGAGACATAGAGGGTCTCGCTCTATCGTGCAGGCCACAAAACAGTGGCACAATCATAGCTCACTGCAACCTCAAACTCCTGGGCTTATGGAGGAGTTTGAGGCTTTTCCATCTTCTCACATCCGCCTACCAAGTAGCTGAGACTATAGATACATGCTACCATGCTTCTTTCAACCTTGACCTAGTTTTTATTTTACAAAATAGGAAACTTTTGGCTAATTGTTTTATAATCAACAGTTTGATATTGTCAATATTTCAATCTCCAACATAAATTTTTCAGATAAAACCATATAATCATGATAAAAGCATGATGACAGGAAAACAACATTATTAAGGAAACAGAGACAAAATAAATTAATACAGATACACAAACACATATATACAAAATTATATTTTTAATAAACATGTATGCTTTACTTTTGAAGTATGTTTCATTTAGATTGCAAAACAAGGCAAGAAGATCTATTATGAATCAGAGTTTTATATGCTCTCAGGAAGGAAGATAATGATCTAACCAATCTCTTTCATTGGGAGCTGTTTTCTGAATATTATAAGGACTCCAGGATTCCAGATGGAAAAGAGTATAATTAACTCTTCACCATCAAATACCTATGTTAGGAGACCTTGAGAATAAAAGATTGCCTAGTAGCAAATGGCATCCTACTTCTTGACTACACCTGCACCTGAGGACACAAAAGGCCAAGATGTATTTAACCTTAGTACCTCTATACAATGAAAACAATTAAGTGCAATTATCTTCACTTAAAGTCTAAAGTTGGCAAACACTTATAAGATAAATGACTTGCTCAAGACTGACTAGGGTTTTGTGTAA